GCAAAGATTATAAAATGAGTACTCTGGGTGGGATGATCATTCTAAAACCCAACAGCAAATCTCCAGATATTAAAACAGAGAGGACAGTTATTCCAGTCCACTTTTCCTTTCAACACGTGATCACATTCTGATCCATGTTCTGATTTACCCCTTCTTTGTGGCATTCAAATTCAAAAAACTATCTTCATCTCATATAAAGGACACCTTAAAAAGGAACTTTTCTCAACACTCAAAAGAAAAAAATCCTTACAAAATAATACACGTATTTGAGACTATTATGGACTGGAATGTAACCTGGTCTTAAAGGAAAAGGAATACATTTAGTTCTATTACCCCAATGTAATATTTATTTAAATGGTAGAAATCTTCTTAAGTAATTTCTTTCTACTTTAGGCATTATTAGCACTTAGAAACAAAAGATTGCTTTTTTTTTTCCATTTCCTAACATTTATTACCTTCAAACTCATCAGTACAAATTACAGTTCTTTTTTCTGGTTTCAAAGTTAGATGTACACATGCCTCATTCTCATTCATTTTAATAATAATAGTAATAAAACAAATTACCAAGATTTACCATTAAAAGATCTGGTAGCCTAAATAAGGTACTTTCATCACAGAATATATGGTATAATGTTTAGAAATTTTATATTTATGAAAACAATATTTTAAAGGAGGGTATTATTTTATTATTCACAAGACAAAGACAAGATTATTTAAATATTTCCCATTTAAAAGGATTAAAAAATAAATTCAAGATATATAATGTTTAAAAAATTATCAAGTTTCCCATTTGTAGAGTTACTGAAATCTGCTCTCTGATTGATGGCTTCATGTATCTTCCTGCTAGAGATTTGATGGAACAATAGATTTGGAATTACAAATTAGAAAACTTGTAACTGGAAAAAGCCTTGGAAAACTTGTCTATCAATTATCTACTGTATGTGAAAGCACTCTGTGAATTTAAAGGCATTATATATATCTTAATTATTATTTCCGCTACTTTAAAAGTATTTGTATAATGGATGTTGGAAAAAGTTTAGGCTTCTAAAGTCATAATTTCACAACATGCCACAAGGTTAAGGATTGAGAAGTAGCTGGAAAAAAATCTCAATGCCCCAAACAACAAAAATAATTCGGATGAAAAAATCAAGGAAATAAATGTCCTTCAGAAACTCGTATTTTAGCCTTAATTTTAGAAAAAGCTACCCACACATTTGGTTTTCCTTCCTATCAGGGAAGATCTGTCCTAAATTGTAAGTAATTCTGATAATTCTGCTTCTTAGTAACTTATGTCAAGCAATGTATTTAAAAGCTACTGGTACAGAAAATAAACCCACATATCATATTAAGAGGTATGCTATTAAATAACTTTATATTAAGCGTAATTGAGCCAGTGCTTGGTAATTAATGGAAAAGGTCAGTTAGAGACCCAAATAAAAGTTTAAATATAAATTAAATCACTATTTTAAAATGTATTTTAAAAATGGAAAGGCCTTGCTGATTAGAATTCCACATTATCATTTTTGAATGAAACACAACCTTGTCCTATAGTCTACTAATCTAATTTTGATTGCCTTAAAAAAAAAAAAGAGACTTAAGATACTCGCAAAGCAATCTGAATTTCTGTCGCAATCTTTCACAAGTTTTTCACCTATACTTGACTTTCAGGTACTTCTTAAGCATCTTATCTTTATAAAGTCTCTCGAGAAATGTAGCTTAGTTTTAATAAAACAAATTATTCTTAATCTTAGTTTATACAGCTTTAAAAGTAAAATTATATAATTACAACAAAAATTACAAGAGGCCAAAATGGTTTGGAAAGTGGGCCAGTGAATTGCTGGAGCCAGCTCCCACCAGTTCACAAGAGCTAACTGAATGCATCTTTTCCCAGGTCTTCATTAATGACCTCACTTTGGTAGCTTGACATCAGCTAGGAATCGGCCATGCTGGGAGTATTTATACCACTGATATCAGCAAACATTTTAAGATCGAGGCTTTTCCCCAAAGAACCAGGTGTTAAACATTTATCGGCACACAAGTATTAGGCATACAGGTGTCCCTCAGTATATGAGGGGGGTTGATTCCAGGAGCCCCCAAAGATGCCAAATACACTGATGCTCAAGAGCTGTATGTAAAATGGTGCAGTACCTTACAATGATGGGTTCAGCTGGCATCTGCATCTGTGGATACAGGGGACCAACTGTACTAACAAATGGCCTCCTGACCAAGACTCTTCCAAATCCTCTAGGCTTCAACCAAGATATTTTTTAAGGGAAATGGTTAGGCAGAGTATGGTTAAGAAAGTTTTTGCTTTATCTTCAAGAGGAGCTAATGGAGGAAAATCATTGTTTTTCATATGTCTTTTAAGTGTTACTGAAATGACACATTGAGTCACATTTTACTTTGACAGAAGTGAACAGATTATTATTCTTAAGTGAGCTGTCAGGTCTAAAACCCATTGATTCTGTATTCTTACCGTTTTGTGATCATTAACAATCATAAGTTCCAAATATTTCATTTCTTCAAACACACCACGAGATGGCTGTGGAAAATAAAAATGTATGGTTAGAATGGTGTTTGATAGGAAATACCTCTGATGCTGACTGTTTTGTTGTAGACTGACTTTAAATTTCAGAAGAACTCCTCCCTCAAAGAAACTTGGCCAGGGAAATGAAAAAAAGTGACTACAAAGTGTGGGCAAAAAAACAAGTATTCAGAAAAGAACTCTGTTTATTTGTGATTAAAGTACTCATCCAGATAGAGAGGAGCACATGTTGTTCTTATATGGCTTTTATATGTACAAATATTCTAGACAAAAATGTTCAGTATAATTCTGTTAAAATAATTAAATCTCAATTTCTTTGGCATTAAGATATGATAAAACTACTCATATCTATGCAATACCTCAAGAAAAACAGCACAAAACTTTAATAAGAATAACATAGTACATCTAGAACAGGTACCAATACATTCATATAGAAACCTTAATTCAATGAAGTGAAATTTTCATAATAATCTACTAATTCTTAACCACACAACTTCTCAAAGGAACAAATGTTGACAATGACAACATTCTAAATTCTTCTAAATTTTGATAATTACTAAATAATCCTTTAAGAACAAGGGCTAAGTATCTTAGCTGTCATTTGGACTTTCATTTCTTTTTCAGAGTTGGAAAAGTACATGGTCATTGGTCAATTTATATTTGACAGGGGTAGGCTGCTGTGAAATGTCAGCAGCCTCTATAAGATTTATTACCAACTACATCTTCAAGAGTAAGTAAAAAGAGATCTCTGAGTCTTAAAAAAAACTGAATCAAAAATCCCCATAGTACAAACACAGGCTTATAAAAGAGAAGATGATCTGACCTATAGCTAAGTTTTTGATGGCTGGTGGTCTAATTTTTTTCACACACAAAGAAATACATTCAGCAAAACATTACAATGTGCAGTTTTCAGTATAATTACTTATTAAGTTATCTAGTAAATTACCATGTAATCCATATGCTTTGGAATTAATTTTCAGTTACATAGCATTCACCATGTAATTACTAAACAGTTCCCATCATTACAGCTTTCTAATCTATTATGAAAATAGGCTAGGAACATAATTTCAGTTACGAAGCTTCTATACGTTTATCAATACATGGGAACTATAAGATAGTTGTTGATTATATAATTACATGATTCTTACTTAGTAACTGTCATGATACTAATGGCCAAATAGATTCATTCTGTTCAGAAAAACACATCCAGCTTCAAAGTTTGGGGTAACTGTTTTTAATTTGAAAAGAAATACAAATAAGCTTGATTAGCCAACATTTCAAAATCTAACTCTTTTTCTGTTCAGATTTTTTAAAAAGTCGCATCATTTTATATTATGTAAGTCACATAGAAAAAAACGAAAAAGCCTGCTGTACTTTCAATAGAAAAAAAAACAAGCTGCAATTTTCATAAGAATAACGCTTTGAAAACAGAGCTAAAACAACACATTCTTTATTTAGATGTCATCAGGATTCACAGAACACCAAAATCAGTTTATATCACTTCTAGGGGAAAATTGAATTAAAGGCAACATGCCCATCAGACTGAAATCATAGGGGCTTGGGGTTTTTGGTTTTGTTTGTAAGAGGAAGTTGTCCAACTCTAAACTGCTTTAGGTACATTTAGTGATGTGCACTGAGTGATGACAGGTGTACAACTTAACTGAGTGAAATAGCCCCGTCTGTGACTCAGTGCCACACTCACATTCACTGCTCTCTTCCGTCTCCTTTTCAACCACCGTAATTCAGGTAAAAAGGGCAACTGGTCACTGCTTTCCATACCTGTGTAAAAGAAAAAGAATACCAAAACTTATGTTTGACTGCATTTCAATGGGAGAATGTTTTTAAAATGTTACGTCAAGGAATAGCGGCATTGATAGCATACATCATCTCAAAATCAAAATAAACTAAGGTGAAAAAAAGCATGCCAATCATTAAATATTTCACGTTTTCATGGTCACAAATATAATTCAAGGTATAATTTTCTCCCAAACCTTATGTAAAACATAACAAGCTATTCAAGACTCCATGGAATACGCGTATTTGAGCAACAACCCACCTGACCTTGGATATCTGAAAATTTAGAAAAACTCTACTATGTTTAGAATTAAAAATTATATATGGCATAAGCTTTTGCATAAATTATGAAAGACTTTTGGTATTCATATACAGAAGTAACATCACATACCCCAACAGTCCAAGAGCTTTTGCCAAATTAGCGTGCTTAAGTGCCTCAGGACCAGAGTGTAAGAGACACTACAAGTTGGTTAAAGAACAACAAACTTCCAGGAAAACCTAAGGATGAACCTCCCTGTAAATCACTCTGTTAAACCTGGCCACAGCCTCCAGTTTAACACAGCTTTACTTCTGGGCTTCATATTTCAGTCTTTCCATCAGAAATGACTCTCCACGCTTCATTATGTGAAAGCCACAGTTCACTCCACTGCCCATCTACACTGCTCACACTCCAGATCTCAAACCAGTTCCACTTCCCAACAAGCCTGCATGTCCACCGAGTTCCACCAAGTCAATGCTCCCATTACGTAAAATAGAGTGGCTCCTGTAACTAAAACTTACTGAGATTCTTCAACTGCTTAGAATATTGTCCCGCCAAGGTCTTCTGGATGATATGTGGTCGACCTGTGCTTTTCTGAAACACAAAAAATTGCAATCAATTAAAAAGGAAGATGTGATCACACCTCTAAGGAATAGTGTTAGCGTTTTCTCTAACATCC